CCTATTATATATAGTAATATTATAACGTGTAGACAACACAAGTCAAAGTTTTGGTACCCAACACATTATTTGTATGATGTATATATTCAAACTATGTATACATTCATGTATCTCTGCCCTCTACGCTATATATATATATATATTATATTCTTGATATTACATTTATAATAAAAATTGAAATAAAAAAAAAGAAAAAAAAGAAAGAAAGAGTTTAAACTGTCATCAATTTATAGAAAATAATAAAGAAATTCTATATAATAATAAATAAATAAACCAAATAAGTAGCGATCGTTTTTACCATCAATGGCCATAACAATAGCCATGATTGCCAGTCTTAATTTTTATTGTAATACACAGCTAAATTTTTAAGGGATAGACTTTTTTTTTTTTTGATAAAACTCTTGTTTCAGGCCATTACAACCTAGGCTTCATTTTGTTCATCGACTTAGGTTCGTCTTGAGACAAAAATAAAAAATTTATTTAGGTTGAGTATTGTAACAAAACTTGACACGTCAAGCCAAGTAGTTACCAAATTTTACGACCCACGGCCCAAGTCCATGGACGTGTACAGTCTGCGCAGACCAGCGTACTATTAACGTTTGTGGCTTATCGGTATTTACGTGTTGTGTTCTGATAACACCTTTTGCCATTTTTATTACATATTATATAATTTAATATTTACATATATCATTAAAATGATTTATTAAATAGTATGGGACAAAAATTCATATACCTAATTAATTAATCATTTAACTAAGTATGTAATTAGTCCAAAACCCCATATTTTATTCCAAGTGAACTCTTTATTTTATCTCTAGTGATTAGGTCAAATCATTCAACCCAATTAACAAATTTCTATTAAGAAGATAATAAATATTTATATAATATAAAAATACATATTTAAATAGCACATTATATAATTATATATAGTAAAATATATATTTCCTGATTTTAGCCAAATATATTTTGTCGCAAAATAGTAATTTGATATAATAAACGGCTAAATTGTACAAAATTCATATGTGATTTCAAAAAATTGTGCAAAACTCCCTATACTTTCAAAATTATATCAAACTCCCTCGTGGTTTTATAAACTTTGCGTCTAACCCCATTAGCCGTACTTATATAACGGTATTTGATCTAGACACGCTCAAATTGCAAATAAATTTTAGAATACTAATTTCTAAAATCCTAAAAACTATAAATATATTCATTTATCTTATATTTAGCTTAAAATAATATTAAAATTTTTTTTAAAACAAGAGAAATATAACTATTTTTTAATATATTTACTGTTTTTTGAGGTTAAATATAAAAATAATGAATATTTTGTAATTTCAAGGGTTTAGAAATGAAGATTTTGAAACTCATTCGCAGTTTGAGCGTGTGTAAGTCAAATACCGTTAAATAAGGACGGTTGGGTGGTTAGATGAAGAATTTATGAAACTATAGGGAAGTTTGACACAATTTTAAAAATATTAGGGGCTTCATACAATTTTGTAAAATCACATATGAATTTTGTGCAATTTAGCCATAATAAGAAAATGTCCGTAAAGAAAGTAGCAAATAATAATATAACATATAACACATTATATAATACAATATATATTATATTCCTTATAATGATTTGCTAACTGTTTGAAATTAATGTGTTAACTTAGTAATATTCTATTTATCGTGTGATGATTTGTTAATTACTTCGTATTAATTTGTTGATTTGGTCAAAACGGCCGCCCTTTATTTTTATTATTTATTGGCATAATTGTTTATAACTCATTATAATTTGAAAAGTTTACATCATACTTTCTTATGATTTAAAAATCATGTTTCGTGAGGTTTTCTTGCATTTAAAAAAATATTCGACAGAATCTTTTAAAAATTAAATGAAACTCCATCGTGTTTTCGAAATTATTGCACATTATAGGTGTGTTTGTTTGGGGGTTTGAATTTTGAGTTGGGATTTAAATAGTAAAATTTTTGAATTTAAATAGTTATATGATGTGATGTTTTGAATGTAAAAATTGATTTTTAGTATAATATAAAAAATAAAAAATAGGTATTTCATTTGATATTTTTTGGAGAAAAAAATAGGATGAATAATAAATTTAAAATCCAATCCTCTAAAGAAACACACCCTAAATTTCCCTAAAAAAAAATAATTTCATGCAATCTTTTTAAAATATAAAAATTTCATGTATTTTTTAAATTACAAGAAAAAATAGCTTAGACTTTCCAAATATTATTTGATGGTTGAACTCAAGTTAACCATAGGCCGATTTGACCTAGGCCCAGACCAAGCCAAGAATGATCCATTTGAACTCGGCCTAAGATCGAACTTAATAAAAAAATATAGTCTTAAAGTCACCTCCTTCATTACTCTATTATTTTATTTTATTTTTTTTTCAGTTTTTATTATAACAAAATTCATTGCTTTTAATAAAAAATTACAGGCATCATAATTTATTACTTTTTTCAAGAATTCATTACCTTTAACTAAAAAAATAAAAACAAATTAAAAATTATCCAAATTTTTTTGAAATTTCAAAAATTTAAAGTTTAAATTTAACATAAATTATCTATAAATATATTTAAAATTCATTAACCAATTCTCTATATTTTCATATTCAATTAAATGAAATGACTAGTGAAAATACTGATCTTTTCAATCAGTTTTTAAATTAAATTGTTGGACACATTTTAGCAATAAAAATAATAATTTTGAAGTTATATTGTTAATATATTTATTTTATACGTTTATATTATATTACGAGTTTTTTATGTTATTTATAATTAATATATATATGTTGATTTATTTCGAATAATGTCAATTATTAAAATTTATATAGATTAATATTTAAAAGTTCAAATATAATATTATATAAAAATATTATTAGATAATAAAAATATATAGAAATAAATAAATTAATGTGTATTTAAAAAATAATAAAGGTATTATATATAGCTAATTTGCTGTAACGGGTAATAAATAAAATAATTTGAATATTAAAGAGAAATATAATATGAATGAGAGAGATAAAAGAGATAATTTAGTAAAAATAATGATTATAAGGGATGTTTTAGCTAGTCATTATATAAAAAAAAATTAGTCTAATTTTTTAAAATCAAACAAAACCCATCTTCGTTTGGAATGGGCTCTAAAATAGTTCGGAGCAGTTTAATTTATGGTTTTTTAACTAAAAATTAAAATAATCTCATATATAAATATATATATATATAGAAGATACATAGTATATAACGTTATAAAAATAAAATAAATATATTTTTCGTTTGTTTAAAAATAATTTTCTTAGAAGTATTGAAAAAAATACTTCTGAATTTATAATCTTTTGTGGAGTTCAAATTTTCTATTATTTTTTTCAAATGAATATGAAATACATAAATACATAGTTGTTAAATATATCAATATAATATTTTCGTCTCACAAGAGGGCTACTGCTTTCTTTTTGTGATATTGTATTTAATATTAAAAATATCATTATATTTATATTATATGAGACTAATAGAACTATTTTTATATTATTATTTTGATTTGTACTATATATTAATATAATAATTAATGTTCAAATATCTACACGAAAAAAAATAATGGTATTATTTTTTGAGACGGAGAGAGTATATAATAAGAGTATTTTGGAAACTATATGACTCAATTAATGAAGTGACATAATTTTTTTAATAGATTGAGTGCAAGTAGTTGTGATATTTTTGTAAATAAGTGTAATATAAAAACATATAAATTAAGTAGTGTGTAAGAGTTATTTGCTAAAACTAAAAAATACAAATTTTTGTTGACAAATGGAGTTTATGTTTGATAAATAATACTCATTCCGTCTCACATTAATATATACATCTTTCTATTTGGTTTGTCTCGCGTTAATGTATACATCTTTCTATTTTGTTCGTCCCGCATTAACGAATATATTTCTTTTTTTAGTATCTCTAGATCCTATTTTTTTCTACAAATATTCCTATTTTACTACTTTAAAAATACTTACTACAATTAAAATATTATTATTTTTTAAACTTTGCATCGAAAGTAAATATACACTTTACACCGAAATGGAGGGAGTAATATTTTTTAGATATGTATATTACGTAAATAAATACTTCCTCCGTCAAATTTCTATTGTGTTAAAATATATTTGCACAGTTTTTTTAGGTGATTGTCTTTTTGTTATGAATGGAAAAATTTGCCATTAAGTATATGGTAGAGATTAAAAATATAATGGAAAAATTTGCCATTAAGTATATGGTAGAGATTAAAAATAATAAATGAATGAAGGATAAAAATGTAAAATTTGTGTTTAAAAAAAAGAAATAGGACAATAGTTATTGGACGTCCCAAATAGGAAAGTAGGATATTAGTTTGTAGACGAGTATATATTATTTATCTTTTTTACACTAATTTTTTTTTATACATCAAAAAAATTATTACATAATAAAATTCTATAGTAAAAACCATATTTTTATTAAAATTTTAAAATAAATATGAGATATATAACATAGTCAGATACATTACATAAAATAATTTTTTTTATCCTTTTTTAATTATATTTTTTCTATGAATAAAAAATAAATATTCCATCCACCCTAATTTAAAGTACTCTTTTATCATTTTCGTTTCTCTCATTTAAAAGTATCAATTTTGTATTTTAACAAAACTGGTAATACATTAATACCAAAATACTGTTAACTTTTACTTATATATTACGTATACAATTACTTTATACACAAAGTCAAAAGATAAAAATGTCAAAAAATTTTAAATACTTTTAATAACCAATAAAATATTGTACCGGATCCTCGGCATCAAGCATCTTGGCCCATTCAGCATCATCCAATAGAAGGATGGCACGTGTGAATTTAATAATATTCTTTATTTTTTATTTTTAGTAAATAAAATTAGAAATTTATTGATTTTGCAATTTCATTCTTCAATTTCTCTCTCTTGCCATTGTCATTTTCATTAATTCTCTGTCTATTAATTCTATGTCCATAATCAATCATTGTCTTCGCTACACGTTGGTCCTCGTTGTTGTCGTCGTCGTCTCCGTCCCTCCACCCTCACCCAGTAGCCCCGTGATCGGTGGGCTTTGCTCATTTCTGTGAGACGCAGAATTTATTTTGGCGTTGGAGAAGTGTAAAATATATATAGTTTTCATCGTGGATCAAGCCAACTCCGTCGCCTACCGACCAACCCCGTGGCAACAGCAGCGTTGGTACCTTTATTCTCCCCAGGTATACGGTTGTTACTTTTTTGACAATTTTTCAATTTCACTCAAATTTTGTTGATTTGGGATTTAAACTTTGATTTTTGGATTTTGTTTATTGTGCCAATTTTAACACTATTTATTTATAATTTTTATATTTTGGATTTTTTTTTTTTTTTTTTACTTCAATACGTTTTGTTGATTTAGGGTTTGTATTGTTTTAAATATTTGGATATTTAGATATGACATATAGTTAGTGGTTTAGATAATAAAATTTAATGCATTAAGTTGAATTTTACTACAAGAATCATAAATCTACTAGCTATGGGAGAGTTAGAAAGAACCAAGACAAGCAAAGCAAGCTACAAGCAATAGTAGCCTAGCCTTTGTATTTGTTGTGAATCTTTTAGATCTTAGTAGCTACTGCAAAAAGGTCAAGTCGCGAGGTGACTATTGTCAATCTTTTAGATCTTATGATGTTTATGGCAGTAGTAGCTTAGCCTTTGTATTTGTTGTATTTGAATTTTGGTTGGAGTGAGAATAGAAAGTAATGTCTCAAATGCAATTTATGTTCTAATTGTTCACCTTAGGCCTGATTGAGTATTTTCTGTGGTCTTCTAATTATTCACCTTATAGAATGTCCTGTTATTCGTTATGGTCTTTGGATTATTCACCTTAGTGGTTGGCCTCTAAGAAATACTGAGGTGACATATTGCACTAGTTGTCTTTTAATTTACTTAAAATTAAAGAATATTTGAAGCAATATAGATATGTTCTTTTGCTTGTTTTACCTAGAGACTTATGATTTTATTTGAAATTATATTTAATTATTTGATATGGTGATCAATTCTTGATTTTATTTTGATTTACTTTCACTTTTATCAATACTATACATTTATGGTTATTTATTTATTACAGGATATGAAATTTAATGAATTAGAGATGAATGAATATTCGTCATCTCGTAAATTAGACTTCGAAAATATGAAATATAAGTTTAAAATTCTTGATGTAAATAGAACAAGAGAATAAGCAATTCCTCAAATTGGAATGAAGTTTGATACGGAAGAAGAAGTATCAGTATTATTTAGCTTATGCTAAAAAAATGGGGTTTGAAATAAAAAACCATATGCTACATAAAGATAAAGAGGATAAGATAAGTTACATATTATTTTTGTGTAGTGCTGAGCGGAAACGGGGAAAAGATAAATGAAGTATCAATGTCAAGGCTCTTCGGCCGATAACAAGATTTGAGTGCAAGGCTCGAATGAAAATTTCTTTGAGAAAGAATGCAAAACATGAAGTAGCTGAGTTTATTTCTGAACATACGCATCATCTTACAAGTCTTCATAGATCGCATAGAAAGATATGTGATGCTCATGCTGCGCACATTGAGATGGTAGAATATGTAGGATTTACTCCAAAAGTCTCTCATGATCTAATGGTTAAAGAAGTCGGCGGCCAAGACAGTTTAGGATTTACTAGGCAAGATTATAAGAATCATTTGCGCACAAAAAGAACAAAAGATATGGAAATCAGAGCTACGAGTCGAGTGCTTGAGTATTTGCAAGGGATGCAAAGTAGAGATTTGAATTCTTTATATTCCATTCAAGTGGATTAAGACAACATGATAACTAATATATTTTGGGCAGACAACATAATGAAAGTACACTATGCATGATAACTAATATATAGACTTTTGCCTTATTTGTTGGTGTTAATCACCATAGACAAATGATTATTTTTTGTGTTTCTCTTCTATATGATGAGACAATCCTGTTATTTCAATGGTTGTTTGACATATTCGCAAGCAGTATGGGTGGAAAAAAATCTATTACTATTCTAACACATCAAGACCATGCTATGGAAAATGCTTTCGCTTCAACATAGCCCGAAACCTGTCACGGATTATGTATTTGACATATATATCAAAATGTTGCAATACATTTTAGTGGCATTTTTGAAAAGCATAAAATTTTGAACATGACTTTGGAATATGAATCTATGACTTTGAAGAAGAATATGAGTTTTTGCACAGATGGAATGAAATGTTAGTGAAGTATGACAGAAAATGATTGGTTGAAACAGTTGTTTAGAGTGAAAGAGAAATGGGAATTGGTAAATAGACGTCAGTTCTTCTGTGCTAATATCACTATGACACAATGTAGTGAAGGTATAAACAGTTTTATCAAAAGGTATGCCAGTTTTAAGAACCCATTGCGAGTATTTTTTGAAAGCTTAAAAAATTTGATTGAATCTCGCAGATATGAAGATTTGATAGCTTATTTCAAAGCAAGTACAAGTGCTCAGGTCCTATTTTTGCCTGTTCACTTCCTGAAACATACGGAAAACGTGTATATACCTGAAGTTTTTAAAAGTTTTCAAAAAGAACTTGGGAAGGCTTATAATTGCGTGGGTGTCCTTAGTCACAAACATGAAACAATTGAAGAGTATCATGTGAGTTATTTTGGATGAACAAAGCAACATGTTAGTTTTAACTTTTCAAATAACAATGTTTATTGTAGTTGTAAGAAATTTTAATTTTTTGGGTTTTTGTGTTCTCATGCGTTGAAAGTCCTCTCAAATCATAAAGTTATGAAGATTCCAGAACAATATGTAATGAAAAGAGGGACAAAATCTGCCAAGTTAAGGATGGTGGTCTTCTTGGAAGAGAATGTTAATGATCCAAAAAAGGAGTCGAGCATGAGATAGAAGGATTTGAGTTTTTTCTTCAACATACTAGTAATAAGAGCTTCAAAAACTAGAGAAACCTATGAAATTGTGAAAGAAATATTTGTTAAGACCACAAGAAGAGTGAATGAACATTTTCTAAACAAAAATGTTCCGTCTGAGAGATCATGTGCGAGAGATACTCAATCATACTTAGGGATTGGAAGCACTGCAAAGAAAGTGGGCAATATACAAGTTGAGGGAATAAAAACAAAACCATGAGTAAGTTCGGGTAAAAGACCCAAAAGTGGATTAGAAAAAATTCAAGAAAAAAAAAATAAAATTGAGGTAGAATAAATAATATTTTAGCTAAGATAAAGATGCGTTAATGACAAGGTCGTCAAAAGCGATGATGAACCTGCACTACCACCAGGTCTGATTACTCGAAACCGTGCCAAGAAGTTCCAAACTAATATTATAATATTAGTTCTACATTTGAAAGAGGAGAACATCGATAAAGTGGAAGCATAGAGGCCAATGGGAAGCACGTTGTCAACATTGGAGTGCATCCATAATTCATGCACTTCATTCCCTTGAAGAACACAATTTATAACACCCATGCGAGTTGATACTCACATCATTATCCCATGTGGGATAAGAGGTGTTTTATTTTATTTAATAAGGTGAGTCCCTTTGCCCTAATTAATTGGACCTCTCTTATTTATTTAATTAGTGAGCTTTAAATAATGTATATTTTTGTCCCACATTGGTTGTAGAGTTTTTTGCTAAGCTAGTCTCCCCTATAAATAAGGCACTTGGTTTCACTTGTAAGACACCTTAAAACTTATATCTATTAAAGTTTTTCTCTTTATTCCATTACATTGGAATTAGTGTGTAAGTGAGGGTTACCCTTGCATACACGTATCATTCTCAAATTGGGTCTTTGGGTTGATTCCTTGGGTTCGTGGCTTCCGAAACCGATCGGAGTTTCTAACCAAATCGTTCGAGTCTCCATTGGTTTAGAGGTGTTGGGTCTAGGCAACGCTTGGGTTCACATCTGATTGATTAACGAATCAGACACCAGTAATATCTATTTTTACTTACTTAGTTTTCATTCAAATTTAATTTTAAGTCTCGATTAATATAGTTTAGCTACTTGAGCTGCATCATCAATTTGGTATCAGAGCGCAGTTTTATCAGAATTCTTATTCTGGTAGTATTAGTCTTTATTTCATACTTTGTTAAGATTTTCTTTCTAATAGCAATATCATTGTTGGGCAAAATATATATATATGTATATATTGCAGAAAAAAATTAAAAAAATACCGCAGAAAAAAAAATTTAAAATACTGCAGGGAAAAAAAAAATTACTGCAGCAAAATATTTAAAAATAAACTAACTACTACCGCAAAAAAAGCCCTATTTGAAATATATTGTGATTTTGATTATTGTATTCACTTGTTTAATTTTGGAAATCGGTTTTCTTGCGGTTATGCTTTCATTGTTGGTTCGTTTTTATTGTTGAGTTTGGCTTATTGAGGTACACTCGTCAATTATATTTTCTATATTCCGTAAGGTTTAGTTGGCTATAACTCGAGGGGCTTACCAAGGACCGTGAAATTTGAGCGCGTGTGTAAGACGGAAAGGTACATTACGTGGGTATACACGAGAGGGTGAGGAAATCATTTATCTAACCATCTATATATATATATATATTTCCACTATATTTTTATATGGCAGGTGAGAAAAGTGACGAGGAACATGATATGGCATCCGCATCAAGCTTTGACCCTAAAATGTTCGTGAATGACATAATGGTGGAAGTACAAAGGGTACTTCGACATGGGGTTGAGGGACTTCATGCCCGAATAAATAAGTTGGAAACATCGAGGGTAGTAGGGAATGCAGCCCCTCCACGCTCGCACAATGACATTCCACCTTTAGTACGACGACATCCCGGGAATGCTCAAAGGCATGAACGAGTTTGTGAATCTTCTAGAAGATGATCGTGACTTGACTGAGTATAATGGAGAAGTAGAGGGCAATGTTCCCCTTCGAGCACGACGAAGGGCACATAGGAGGGATGACAATTATCCAATTCGCTCTATGAAATTCCAAATCCCAATTCTACGGAAAATATGATTCAGAAGCATATCTTGATTGGGAGCGGAAGATTGAGCTGATCTTCGATTGTCAAGATTTGGATGGTCCACAAAAAGTCCGAGTTGCGGTCTCCGAGTTCAAAGATTATACCATTCATTGGTGGGACAATATTTGCCTCAATTGGACACGAGGTGGAGCACCGATGATTCAAACATGGGAGGAGTTGACACGTATCATGCGAGCTAAATTTGTGACGAGTTCGTATACGCAAGAATTGCATGTTCGACTGTAATCGATGAAGCAAGGAAATAGGACAGTCGATGAGTTCTACAAGGATTTGGAAGTGACTTTAATTTGGGCTGATGTTCGAGAGAGTCAACAAGCCACAATAGCGAGGATCTTGACTAGGTTGAATCGAGACATTGCTGACAAAGTGGGATTGTATCGTTTAGATGATATTGATAAATTGGTGGAACGTGCTATTACAATTGAGAAGCAATTGAAGTGTAAGGGCAAACAAAAACACATTTGGTACGATGCCCTTCACACTAAATTATACCAAGAAAGATGACAAATCCCAAGTGGCCCAAGGGTTCGGTAAAGGAAAAAGTGTTATCAAGCTGATACGCCAAGGAAAAAACATGTTCGAGCTGATCCGGAGAAGCCGAGGAATCGAGATATCATTTTCTTCAAGTGTCAAGGTCGAGGCCGCATTGCAAGTCAATGCCCAAACAAGAAAATTATGATCCTCAACAAGTTTGGGGAATACGAGACGGAATCTGAAAATGAGGAGGGGGTTGATCAATTAGTACATGAGAAAAATAACATGGATTATGACTCTGATTCCGGTGTTGGTTTGAGTTTGGTTACTTTACGAGCCTTAAGCACTATGTCAAGGATCTTTGATGAGGAACAATGAGAAAACCTCTTTCAAACTCGTTGTCTAATTTGAGGCAAAATGTGTAGCCTCATTATTGATAGTGGGAGCTGCACAAATATTGTAAGTGAACTTGTTGAATTTGCTAACAACACCCCACCCCAAACCATTCAAATTGCAGTGGGTTAACAATTGCGGAGAGTTGAATGTGAATAAGCAGGTGACAGTTCCTATCAAGATAAAAAATTATAAGAATGAAGTCTTCTATGATGTGCTACCGATGCAAGCTTGTCACGTATTACTTGGGAGGCTATGTCAGTTTGATAGAAAGGCTCATCATGATGAATATTTGAATAGATACTCATTTGAGTTTGGGAGTAGAAAGATATGTTTGAAGCCGTTGTCTCTAATGGATGTCCATGAGGACCAAATCTACATGCATCGTCAATTTGTGGAAGAAGCCAAAGAAAATAGAGAACGGAAAAAGAGTGAAAAAAATAAGAGTAAAAAAAGTGAGCATGAGATTGAGAAAAGTGAGAGCAAAAAAAATAAAAGTGACAAAAGAAAGCAAGTGAGTGAACAACGCAAGAGTGAGCTTGAAAGAAAAATGTTTGTGAGCTTGAGAGAGGTAAAAAATTTGAAAGTTCACGAGAAAAGTTCTTATTTACTTTTGATTAAACCTGTTTATTTTACTAAGCAAGAGCTAATGGTACTCCTTTCCAATGTTGCTACTCTTTTGCAGGAATATCAAGATGTGTTTCCTGATGAAGTAACCGGAGGATTACCACTTATTCGGGGCATTGAGCACCAGATGGATCTCATTCCGGGTGCATCAATTCCAAATCGTTCATCTTACAAGGCAAGTTCAGAGGAAGTCAAAGAAATACGTAAGCAAGTGAATAAGTTGCTTGACAAAGGCTGGATTTGCGTAAGCCTAAGCCCTTATGTTGTACCGGTTCTTCTTGTCCCAAATAAGGATGGTGGATGGAGGATGTGCATCGATTGTCGAGCCGTAAATGCCATAACGGTAAAGTATCGACACCCTATCCCTCGTTTAGATGATATGCTAGATGAATTTCATGGGTCAAAGTACTTTTCTAAAATTGATTTGAAATGTGGATATCATCATATTAGAATGAGGAAAGGTGACGAATGGAAAACTGCATTGAAAACTACAATCGGCTTATATGAGTGGTTAGTCACGCCTTTTGGCCTTACGAATGCTCCAAGTACGTTTATGCAGTTAATGAATCATGTATTACGTACTTTCATAGGAAAGTTTGTTGTGGTTTACTTTGATGACATTCTCATCTATAGTAAATCAATGGAAGAACATGTAGAGCATATTCGTATTGTTTTGGAAGTATTAAGAGCTGAAAAACTTTATGCTAACCCGAAGAAGTGCGACTTTTGTGTCAAAAAATGTATTTTTCTTGATTTGTTGTAGTTGCTGAAGGGATAAGTGTGGATGAAGCTAAAACACAAACTATTGGGGATTGGCCAACACCTAAAATGATCAAGGAAGTTCGTATTTTCCTTGGACTTGCAAGCTTTTACCGCCGCTTTGTGTGGGATTTTAGCTCTATTGCAGCACCACTGACTGAGCTTAAGTTTCGATTAGCATAGTTTAGTTACTTGGGTTGCGTCAGTTAATGTTGTTTATTTTTAATTATTTTATTTTATGTTATATTAATATAAATAAATTATTCCTTATGCAACAATCAATAAATGAGACAAACATTGAAGATGATGGCATTGCATTGCAGCAACATCAAATAGCTCCGCAGTAGGTTATGCTTTTTTGGGGGAAAAAAAAAGAACTTTTTTCGGATCTTATCCTATACTTCTTATACTTGGATTTTTTGTTTTTCTAATTCATTTTTAATTATAAATTCAAGCATTCAATTCAATGGCAAACATAAATACTCAATGCCCCAATGACTCGACTCACGTTATGAATTTTACTGAATTAGTTAAGGTATTTTTAATATTGAAATTTGTTGTGTTATGAAATGAATTGTTGCATTTTTGCATAGTTAGTAATACCTACACTTTATACAGGTTCAATCAGTCCGTAGCTGCACCCCTGAAGTTTTTAAAAATTACAGGAGATGATTGATCATAACCATCTAATTTGGAATAATGGACATGGACTTGGAATGAAGTATGTTGAATTAGCATCAAAATTTATTGTTTCTTTCATAAGCATCGTTAGTTTATGATTTATTGATTATAGATATACAAATGACAAATATACCTCATATGTGTTTGATATTCTCTTTTCAGGTAATGAATTGATATGCCTAAAATTACAACTGGCTATGTGTACTGGAAGGAAATACAAACATTGGTGCGTCAATCTTGTTAATAAGATTATTAATATGAAATTTCAGCTTTTTCCCTGAAATATGTCTCTCTTGGGGACTTGGAAATTTCTTAAGATGCTATATACTTTCAAATCTATGTACCAGTCCGTTGGAATTTACTCAATTTTCGAGTTAAGCAAAAGTTAGTGATGTGCACTTTTATTTCATGTTTTAACTAGTAATTGAATATGTAATGTTTGTATTACTGGTAATTGATATAAGACATTTTTACTTCTGCATGTGTGATATTTATATAATTGGTATTGAATATGAAATTGATAGGTTGTCTTCTATGTATGTAGTTTTTTGTTTTCATTTTGTGGATTCTAAACCAATTTTGAATGAAGCATTTCATTCTAATTGTTTTCAGTTTATGGATGCTAAACTAATACAAAATGAAGCACTTCATTTTAGTTTTTTTTTTTTTTTCAGTTTATATATGCTTAGCCAATTCTGAATGAAGCACTTCATGCAGTAGTCAGATTGCCTATGCACAGGAACATCAAGACTCAAACATTTTTGTTACTACCATAGCTAAATTTAATGGGAAGAATTTGCAGAATATAATCTTTGTAGTAAATAGAAATCTAGTATATAAGAATATAATTTGCAGGTTTAATGTTTGTATAAAAGAAATCTAGTATAGTTGTATAAAAAATATAAGAAATATTTTTGTTTACTATAAAGTGTTTATAATGCAGTATGTTGTCATGTTTCACACGCAACGGGAGAATTGGAAGAAACGGTCGTAGCTGGGAGAAGTTTCTTGGATTGATGAAAGTCTGTTTATTTGTTTTTTTGATTATATAATTAACAACAAGTCTCGAAGTTTTCCAAATAACTTCAACTAAGCATGAATGTTTAGTGCATAAACCATGAGATAAGATCACACGCGTACACACACAAAAAGAAAGATCACACAAACGATCATAGCAATAGTAATAATAACAATAATAATAATAATAATAATAATAATAACAATAATAATAATAATAATAATAATAATAATAATAATATAACACAAAAGCCGAACATAAAATTATATAGCAGCAACATTTCTATAATGTGAATATGCCTACAAGGCAAAGGGACATTTTAGAACTGAACATTTCATCAATTTACGGTTATCAAATACATAACACAAATAAAATAATATATTCCAGCAAATTCTTTGAATTAACAAACAAGTTTGTCAAATTTATATTATAAGAAATTTTACTCCTATAAATGTGTTTTAATTCTCTTTTTTCTAAGTGGGTGGGGATGCTTAGTTCATTCCAAATACTTGACTTGTGATTCTTGGATATTCAATCATGTAATTTCTGATTATTTTAGTCGAATAAATTGCTATTATGTTGTTTCATGTTGAGGTCTCTCATCCTGCATTGAGAAGAAGGCCGATGCAGCTGCATCATTCTCACATTTTACTGGACTTCTTATGGAAGCTCATATGTTTGTCTTAGGAGCTTAAAAAAGGGACTCAAATGGTTCATTGAGCACTGCAAAAACTCGCATCCGCATAAAGAAATATTTACAATTGAGCACTATGTCCAAATTTTAATAAAATAACATATGTAAATGTTGAAACGTGACTTGGATTTAGCGGTCTACCCGACCCTAAACCAAAGCGAAAAGGCTGTTTCAATTGGCAGGATTCCTTTTGGGCTTATCCTAATTGATAACAAATAGGCTTACGGTTTAGGGTGTTTTTTGGGTGCTTATAAATAGACAACTATGGTTCTTAGTCGGATGACACATTGTAAATCTCTGAATCAGTATAATAAAATCTCTCCAGTTCCTGCCCGTGGACGTAGGTTGACACACCGTCACCGAACCACGTAAAACTTCTGTGTTCTTTATTTGCTTTCTTTCTCGTTTTCTCATAACAAGTGGTATCAGAGCCATATCCCATTGATTGAAGATGTCCTCGTATAAATTTGATCTGGAGAAGTTTAATGGGTCGAATGACTTCACGCTCTGGAAGGTCAAGATGAGGGCACTTCTGGTTCAACAAGGATGTGCGGCTGCGTTGGAGGGAGAAGACAAGTTTCCTAAAGACACGAAGGAGGAGGTAAATAAGGAGATTTTGGCAAGGGCTCATTCCGCAATCTTGCTGTCAGTTACTGATGAGGTGTTACGGGAGGTTGTAGATCAGACAACGGCTTTTGGGTTATGGAATAAATTGTGTGAGAAGTACCAAAACAACTCTCTCACGAACAGGCTATATCAGAAGCAACGTCTTTACACCCTCCGGATGTCCGAAAGTACTCAGGTAAAGGATCATCTTGATACCTTTAACCGTATCATTCTTGATCTTCAAGGAGTTGAGGTTAAAGTAGATGATGAAGATCAAGCCCTAATTTTATTGTGTTCACTACCTGGTTCATATAAGAATTTTGTAGATACTATGCTATATGGTAGAACTATAATTTCTGTTAATGATGTGAAAGATGCCCTTATGTCCAAAGAATTGAAAAGAAAGGTTTCTCTGGAAGAGGGTTCTGGTTCAGGTCTGTTTGCAGGTAAGGGAAGACCACAGGAGAGGGGTAACGGGAATGGGAGGTCGCGTTCAAAATCAAAATCCTCTAGCAAAGTTAAGTGTTATCTCTGTAAGGAGAAAGGGCACGTTAAAAGGGATTGTCCACAAAAGAAGGGAAATACAAAAGTTGATTCTAGTAACAGTGGCAGCAGTGCTGCTGTGGTACAAGACAGTTTTGATGATGGGGACTTTGGTGAAGTTCTGACAGCGTGTAGTGCTAGTACTGCTGATTCCTGGATTATGGATACCGGTGCTTCTCACCATATGACGTTCTCTCGTGATCTACTCACTTCCTTTAAGGAGTGGAATGGAACGGTGAAGTTAGGTGATGATGGGGTTCTAGCCATAAAAGGGAGCGGGGTAGTGCAGATAAAATTGCATGACGGTACTGTCAGGAAATTTGACTGTTGGTATGTTCCTGAACTCAGAAAGAATTTGATTTCTCTTGGCACCTTAGCCAAGAATGGTTTAAAATATCATGGTGAAGGTGAGTGGGTGAAAGTCCTGAAAGGTGCGCTGGTAATGATGAAGGGAAAACTGCAGCATGAAATTTATTTTCTACAGGGCAGTTCAGTGATGGGAACGGCGGCGGTATCCCAGTCCTTGGATAAACATGATGACAGGACAAATTTGTGGCACCGGCGATTAGGTCACATGAGTGAGCTAAGGTTGTATGTGTTGAGCAAGCAGGGTTTATTTGGTGGGGATGTGATAGGTAAAATTCAATTCTGTGAGGCTTGTGTAAAAGGGAAGCAACGCAGGGTGAGGTTTAGTACCGGTCATCACACTTCAAAAGAAATTCTGGAGTATGTTCATTCAGATCTATGGGGTCCCTCTCCGGTGAAATCGCAGGGCGGGTGTTCTTACTTTGTCACTTTCATAGATGATTATTCGAGAAAAGTCTGGTTGTACTTTCTAAAGACTAAAGATGAGGTGTTTGGGAAGTTCAAGGAGTGGAAGACCATGGTTGAAAAACGGACGGGTAAACAGGTCAAGACTCTAAGAACTGATAATGGGTTGGAGTTCTGCAACGCTCCATTTGATGATTTCTGCAAGAAAGAAGGTATAGTGAGGCACCGCACTGTACGACACACACCACAGCAAAATGGAGTTGCAGAGCGAATGAACCAAACCCTCATGGCGCGTGCTAGGTGTATGCGCATATTTGCTGGCTTGTCTAAGCAATTCTGGGTTGAAGCAGTAAACACTACTAGCTATCTGGTTAATAGATCTCCATCAACTGCAATTGACTTAAAGACTCCGCAAGAGGTATGGTCCGGTAAACCCTCTGATTACTCTAATCTAAGAATATTTGGATGCCCTGCATACGCTCATGTGAATGATGGTAAGCTGGAGCCGAGGGCGGTAAAATGCATATTTCTAGGGTATGCAACAGGAGTAAAAGGTTATCGACTGTGGTGTACAGAAGGTAAAAATCCTGGTAAATTTCTTATTAGCAGAGATGTAACCTTTGATGAATCTGCTATGCTTGATCAGATTAGAGGTTGTGAAAGTATTGCAGGTACAAAAGATTGTGGTGCTAACCAGAGGGTGGAGTTTGAGACTCCTGACAGAGTTGTGTTAGAGGAAAAGCAGCAGGATAATACTATTGATCAATCCGATCAACCAGATCAGTCAAAACCTCAAGGGAAACCGGTTGAGGGGGAAGCTGATGACGTTGGTACTGGGGTTGAAGATTCCATAGCAGCAAGAAAGGGAAAGAGAAATATTCAGAAACCAGCTAGGTTTGCAGGATGTGTCAATACGTGTGACATGGATTCTGTTGCTTATGCACTAGCGGTCGGTGATGATCTTGGCTCTGATGAGCCAAAGACATATAAAGAAGTTGTGGCGAGTAAAGATGCAGAAACCTGGATTATGGCAATGAATGAAGAGATACAGTCTCTTGAAAAGAACAAGACTTGGGATCTTGTTGCACTACCAAAAGGGGTGAAGCCAGTGGGATGCAAGTGGGTCTTTAAAAGAAAGGAGGGAATTCCTGGTGTTGAACCTGCTAGGTTCAAGGCGAGACTGGTGGCAAAAGGTTTTTCACAGAAGGAAGGAATCGATTACCATGAAGTCTTTTCTCCTGTGGTGAAACACAAAACCATTCGGGTTCTTTTGGCAATGGTGGGTGCTTTTGATCTGGAGCTGGAGCAGCTTGATGTAAAAACAGCATTCCTTCATGGTAATCTAGAAGAACAGATTTACATGTCTCAACCGGAGGGGTTCTACAGTTCTAAAGGGGACCAGGTATGCTTGTTAAAGAAATCTCTGTATGGCTTGAAGCAGTCTCCGAGGCAATGGTACAAGAGATTTGACTCATTCATGGTGTCTAATGGTTATACTCGTAATCAGTTTGATAACTGTGTTTACTCGAAGAAAGTTTCTACTGATTCCTTTGTGTATCTGTTGTTGTATGTGGATGATATGTTAATTGCAGCTAAGAATATGGCTGTAATTAATGACTTGAAGGCTCTACTAAAGGGTGAGTTTGAGATGAAGGATTTGGGTGCGGCAAAGAAAATACTTGGTATGGAGATCTGGCGTGATAGAGAAGCAAGACGGTTGTGGGTTTCTCAAGAAAAGTATATTGAGAAAGTTTTGCAG